GTAGACACATGCCCTTGGGAGAAAAAAAAAAAAAAAAAAAAAACTCTCCAAAAAAAAAAAAACTCACACTGGGTGCATATGCATGCATGCCCAAAATCCTGAGAGGAGAATGGAGGAGAAGGCATTGTGGCGTGGCCATGTCCCCGGTGGGGGTGATTTCTCGCTTTCCATCTGTCTCCCCAGTGAGTGTACATGTTAAAAAAAAAAAAAAAAAAGCTATAGGGAGAAACTATAACCCAGGTCAGCTGGGTGGCGTGGTGGTTAAGGTGGCTGGATTCCACATCGCTGACTGCACTGGTCAAGTTTCAGACTCAGAAACACGTTCAGTGTGTGTGTATGCCTGCTCAAAATTTCAAGAAGAGAATGGAGAAGAGGCTGCAACATGCCATCCCCCTGGGGGATGATTTTTCTTTCCCCCTACCCCTTAGCAAGCGCACATACCCTATAGCAACTTAAAAAAAGAAGGGAAAAAAAAAAAGAAATATCACACTTAACCGGAGCACATGTTGGAAAATGGTGCATGAAAAGTCCTAGTTCTTTTTAAAGAGACACTTGCAAATTTAGGGGCAAGAGAGTCATCTTGTAGCTCCAAAGGGTAGCTCAACTGTGTTACCAAGGTCTACTCCTGCCCCGACACACAATAACCATGACAAGTTTGAGACAAAAGTCAAAGCAGAAAACTACTGATCATAATGGTGATTTTGGTGCCCCGACACACAATAACCATGACAAGTTTGAGACAAAAGTCAAAGCAGAAAACTACTGATCATAATGGTGATTTTGGTGCCCAACTGGGAGAGACACTCCCTCCTGCTTCCAGACATGCCCTGCCAAGAATCAGATGGTGGAACCTGTTTTCCTAGCAGGTTAGCCATCCTAGGTTGTGTGTTCTGTGTGAAGATAATGCAATTTTAATGTCTTCCTTGAGTGCAATATATATCCTGGTTTGACTCAGCCCTGGTGACACAAGAATGGGGTGGGGGAAGCGCTGCTGTGTGAGGTGAGGGCACATGAAAGGCCCAGGTTTAACTGCCAGACTGACAACCTAAACAGACTGTGTGTGGTGGCGTTTGTCTGTGGTCCTAGCTAACCGGGAGGCTGGAGCAGGGGATTGTGACATGGCAAGACCCTGTCAAAAATACATCTCTCTCTCCTTCCCTCCCTCTCATGAAAAATAATTCTGAGCTGGAGAGAGCACTCTGTATTTTCAGATTCAGGAGACTGAGCTCAAAGTGTTAAAAATGTTATCACCATTCAATCCTTGCAGCACATTATGAAGAAGGTATCATCTCTGTTCCTTACAAAGAGGAAACCAGCCTAAAGAGACTGACAGTGTCTGAATTAACTCCAAAAACTAGGCCCTGCCACTCCATGAAGCTGGTGAAATGTACACACAGACACCAGCTACACAGCACTGGGACTGCCACCCAGTGCCTAGTCATGCTATCCACTGGCTTGAAGCCCTGGACGCATATGGCTGTGGCATAATAAGCATGGATCAGCCGCAGGAGTGGCTTCTGTGCCACAACTGAAGGTGACATCATCAGTCAGATTTGGACTCCGCTGCTCCCTGCCTGTTGTAAGCCAGGCATGTGTGTGTGCCCAGGATCCGGAGAAAAGGGGATTCCGGTGTGGTCATCTCCCCTGGAGGGTGATATCTTACTTTCCCTCTCACTGTCTCTCACTGGTGAGCACAGGCGCCCTATAACAAAAACTTAAACATAAAAACAAACAAAAAACAACTTACACACACTAATAAAGCAAAATAAAAATAAGGCTCTTGCATACTATCTGACACAAAGCAAGTTCTCAATAACTATCAGGCAATTAGCAATCCTAATATTTTTTAGAAAGTTACTGCCTGATCTGGGCCCTCTACATTGAGGTACGCTAAAAGCTATTATGTTGAACTAAAGAAATCACTGCTATTCATCTGTTATAGCCTTCGAAAATCATTTCACAGAGATATATCCCAGTTGAGATCATGGGAAAGACTCCTCATCACAGCCAACCCCAGAGGTAGTGATTTGCTTCTTTCTTCTGGAAGGCAGAGTAAAAGCATGAGGGAAAGCAGATGACACATAGCAGAGGAAGTAAGGTGTACCTGGCCATGGAAGTCGGAGGGTTGGGAAGACAATTCTCAGTAAACAGCTCCCCTCTCCTTACCTCAGCTTGCCTCCTACTCATTCATTTATTCAGCAAACAATGACATGACACCACTAGGGACAGACATGGTTCTAAGGGCTGAAATGCAACAGTGGGAAAATAACAGTCCCAGCTGTTACATTACAGCAGAGAATCAGACAATAAACAAAAATAGATCGTGGGGCCAGCTCCATGTGGGGCAGCAGGTGAGGACTGTGCAGAGGAAGGTGGATCTCATAAGGCCAACCAGGGTTCGAGTGTCAGTCCCAACAGCCTGACAAACACACTGGACATGTGCATGTCCACCTAGGGTCCTGACAGAATGAAGAATTGGAGGAAAAAGGATTATGGAGTGACCACGCCCTGTTGGGGGGGGTGCTTTCTCTCTCTCTCTCTCATTCCTCACACACACTCTGGCATAAAACAGAATAAGTCATGATAAGTAAAATCCTATGAGAAAAATAAAGCAAGGTAAAGGTATGGAGAGTATCAGAAGATTACTTACTTCAAGGTGCCAGGAGCAGCTCTTTGAGGATAATGTAACATCTGAACAAAAGCCAAAGGAAGTGATCAAACTGTGTGGCCATCTGAGGGCAAGGGGCTCTAGGAAGAAGGGGCAGTGCAAACCTCTAAGTCAGGAACACACCTGGTAGGAGGCTGAAGCAACAGTGAGATAGCCAGTGGTTGGAGGGGCCAGGGCAGGGGTGAGAACAGTGGGAGGAGGGGCAAGGGGCTTCACAGTGCAGTGACTTGGGACTTTACTCTCAGTGAGCTGGGACATTAGGGGAGGGTTCTGACCAGTTGTGGACATAAAGGTAACTTGGGTCCACAAGCTTTGGCTGTAGAGAAGACTACAGGGCAGGAAGCAAGAGACCTGGGAAGGGGGAATCTCGCATTAAAAGTGAAGATGATGATGGCTTTGCTACAGTGGTCAGGAATGGTCAGAGTGTGGATATGTTTTAGAGTCTGCTAGATTCAGCTCTGCAATTATATGTGCGTGCGCACACACATGTGTATATATGCATATACCACTTTTGCTACAGGCTGCCTTTGAGTCTCCCAGGAGTTCCCAACCAAGAGAAGCCGGATGTACAATTGCTAAACTAGGCTAGCAAGTTTTTCCTACCACTGGTCGCTATGGAAACCTTCCTGAAAGCAGCCATCTGGGAGTCTGCTGGAGCAATCCAAGGATTTAGCCACGTCACTGTGGCTGCCTGCCGCAGCCCGGCTGTTGTCACAAAGATATTAAGAGGCAGAAACTTGAAAAACAGGACTAAAGCAGATACCTTGCCTGTTCTAGAAGGAATTTTAGAAAATGAATGGCACTTTTCTCATTAAAAATGGGAAAGGGCTTTGGATTACCACATGGCTGACCGCTGTTTGACTCCAGGATTTGGAGGCTTGAAAATCATGCTGGGCATGTGTGTGTATGTGCTAAAATTCCCGAGATGAGAATGGAGGAGAAGGGACTGCAGAATAGCCATTCTCCCTTGGAGACAGTTTCTTACTTTCCCTCTCTCTGTCTCTATCAAGCGAGCACCCACACCCTATGGCAAAAACCTAACCAAAAAAAACCCAAAAACGTATTAGTGGGGCTAGGAGCAGCATATGGCATAAGGTTAAGGTGGCTGTGCAGTTCAGTTCCTGGAGCTGGCAGCATGAAAAAGACACTGGGCACATGTGAGTATCCAAAATCCCAAGAGGAGAATGAAGAAGAGATTGCAAGGGACCAGCAATGAGCGTAATGGCTATGTCACTGAATTCCCATGTAGTCGACCATGGTTCGAGTGCCGGACCTGGTGGCTTAAACTTACGCCAGGGGTGTGTGCGTGCGTGCCCAAGATCCCAAGAGGAGAAGGGACTGCAGCGTGGCCATTTCCCCAGGAGGTGATTTCTCGCTTTCTGTTTCTCTCTGTCTTTCTGGCAAGCGCACATGCCCTATAGCAAAAACCTCTCCAAAAAAAAAAGAAGAGATTGCAACATGGCCATCCCCCCTCAAGGAGGATTTCTCTTTCTCTTTCCTCCTTTTCTGTCTCTCTCTGGGGACCATACATGTCTTACAGCAAACAAACTCCCAGAACGAATAAAAGAATTGGTCAAAGTCACAGGATACAAGATAAATATGTTAAAAAAAATTTTTTTTTACTTAATGGGGCCAGTCAGTGGCAAGGTAGTTAAGTCAGCTGGATCCCACAGAGCTGACTGTATAGTTCAAGTCCTGGATCTGGTGGCTTGAAAAACATGCTGAGGGCATGTGCATGTGAGCCCAAAATCTTGAAAGAAGAACAGAGGAAAAAGGATTGTGGAATAGTCACAACTCCTGACGGGTGCTTATTCACTTTGTACCCCGGCTCTTTTTCTGTCTCTCCAGCAAATACATGCTCCATATAGCAAACTAGGAGAAACAAAATTGGGAATACAAAACTGGTTTAATATTTAAAATCAATCAAATAGGGGCGAGCAAGTGGCATGGTGGTAAAGGCACTTGACTCCTATATGGCTGGCCATGGTTAGAGTCCTGGACTTGGTTGCTTGCTTTCTCACTTTCTTTCCCTCTATCTCTCTCTGATGAGTGCATGTGCCCTACAACAAGCTTTAAAAATAATAAATAAAAAAAATTAAATCAATAAAAAATAATTTAGTTTATCAACAGACTAAAGTAAAAACAAACAAAACTATATGATGGGCTGGGGGCCGGCACATGGTGTGGTGGTTAAGGGAGCTGGACTCCTCCCACATGGCTGACTGCGGTTTGAGTCCCAAACCTGGTGGCTTGCTTTCTCACTTTCCCTCTCTTTCTCTCACTCTGTCCCTCTCTGGTCAAATTCAAATAAATAAATAAATAAATAAATAAATAAGAATTTAAAAATAATTCTAAAACAAAAAAAAATCTATGATGGGCTAGTTGGTGGCATGGTGGTTAAGGCAGCTGGATCCCACGTGGCTATTGTGGTTTAAGTCATGCCAGGCGCATGTACATGCCCTAAATCTCAAAAGGATAATGGAAGAGAAGGGATTATAGAATGGCTTTACCCTGAGAGAGTGATTTCTCTCTCTCTCTCTCTCTGTCTTCTCCCTGCTAACACACATGCCCTCTAGCAAAATAAAACAAAACTATATTATCTCAAAAGATGCAAAAAATGGTATGTGACAAATTCAATATCCATTCATTAAAACACACACACACACACACACACACACACACAATAAGCAAACTAGAAATAGAAGGAAATGTCCTTAACATAATAAAAGACACCTATAAAAACCCTACAGCTGGGATTAGCAGATGGCATAGCGGTTACGTCACTGAACCCCTACATGGCTAACCATGGTTCGAGTCCTGGACTCAGAGGCTTGAAACACGCTAGGTGCAAGTGCCTACATGCCGAAAATTCCAAGAGAAGATGGAAGGAAAAGGGATTGTGGCATGACATCCACCGGGTGGGAGGGATGATTTTTTTTTGCTTTCTGTCTCTGGTGAATGTGTGTGCCCTCTAGCAAAAACCTCTCTTTAAAAAAACCCTACAGTTAATATCACACTTGATGAAAAACTGCTTTCCCTCTAAGATAGAATAAGGCAAGAACTCCATGTAATTCCAATCAAACTCCAGTAGTTTTTTTTTTTTTTTTTTTTTTTTTTTTGAGAAACTGATAAGTGACTCTAAAATGTAAACAGATGGCAAAGGAACCAGAACAACTCAAAACAATTTTTGATGGGGCCAGTCAATGCAGTGGAGGTGAAGGCAGCTGGATCCCACATGGCTGACTGCATGGCCAGCATGTGTATTTGCATGCTCAAAATCCTGAAAGAAAGGAGACATGGAGGAGAAGGGACTGTGGCATGACCATGCCACATGGAGGGTGATTTCTTGCTCTCTCCCTCTCTCTCTGACAAGTGCACATAGCCTCTAGGAAACTTTTTTAAAAAAGAAAGAAAGCATCCGCTTGAGTTTTCTGAGGTCCACAAAAGAAGCCCTGAGTACTGGCTGAAGCTACAGCGATGTGGCCTCCCCAGATTTCACCTTTCTTGTGTGCTGACAAAGAACTACTATACTACTCACCACCTTGCACATCTATCTCCCCAGGGATTTGATGTTTATACAAAACCAAAGAAAGCACAAGCTTTTCTTAAGAAAAGTGCAAACTATTAGAAATGGCTTCTCTGTAACTGTGAAAAGGATCCCCACCTCTCTCATTTGTTAGTAACACTTCACTAACACAGTTCAGCATGAATGTGACATCTTAGCAGCCTGTGAAGTCAGGAACTTCCTAAGCTGCTAAAAGGTAATAAAATCTGTCATTTTTTCAAGTTACTGCAAGAAAATCTACCTCTTAATAGTGTAAGTAATCACTGGAAAAATAACTGAGAACACTTCAAACTTCAGTTTCCTTGTTTTTTTTGTTTTGTTTTGTTTTTGAGATTTTTGCTATAGGGCACATGTACTTGCCAAGAAAGACAGAGACAGAGACAGAAAGCAAGAAATCGCCCCCCAGGGGGGATGGCCATGCCACAATCCCTTCTCTTCCATTCTCCTCTCGGGATCCTGGGCACGCACGCACATGCACCTGCACATGCGCCTGGCATGAGTTTAAGCCACCAGGTCAAAGACTGGAACTACAGTCAACTACATGGGAGTCTAGCAACATATCCATTATGCCAACTGCTGGTCCCCAAAATTCAGGTTTCTAAGCCACCATTTTTTTGTTTGTGTTTTAAACTGGACAAAATCCCTAAGTGTGTCATTTCACATAGGGTTAAAGTTGTCTATTACATTGAAGTCTTTTTTTTTTTTTCGAATCGAAAGGCTGTATTTCATGAGTACATGTTTGTGTAGCCCAATGACAAAAACATTAACAAAATCGCATTTATATATATGTGTATGTATACCATGACAATATTAATTTAATTAATCTTCTCTTTTTTTAATAATGATTTTATTTAACTTTATTATTTATTTATTGGTGAGGTTTTTGCTATAGGGTGCGTGCACTTGCCAGAAAGACAGAGAGACAGAAAGCGAGAAATCACTCCCCAGGGGGTATGGCCATGCCGCAATCCTTTCTCCTCCATTCTCTTCTCAGGATCTTGGGTGCACACACACACGCACACGCACCCGGTGTGAATTTAAGTCACCAGGTCCAGGACTCGAATCGCGGTCAACTACATGGGAATCCAGCACCACAGTCATTACACCAACTGCTGGTCCCTTTTATTTATTTATTTTAATTTGACCAGATAGAGAGAAAGTGAGAAAGCAAGCCGCCAGGTCCAGGACTCGAACTGCAGTCGACCACGTGGGAGTCCAGCACCCGTAACCACCATGCCACATGCCGACCCATTAATCTTCTCTTTGTAACTGTGAAACAGATCTGCAAACTCCTCTTCTACTGGGAGAAACTGAGGCAAAATAAACAATGTCTTGCTCTAGGACATGTGTGAAGCTAACTGAGCCTAATAATCAAGATAGTGCCCTACACACTTTTTTTTTATGAATTATTTTAAGTGTATTTATTCATTCATTTATTT